TGGCCGAGGCGGAGCCCGCGAAGGAGGAGGCGCCGGGCCGCGCGTCGCTGTACCAGGAGAAGGCGAACCTGTACCCGCCGAGCAACACGCCCGGCGAGGGGCTGAGCCACGGCGGGGGGCTGCGGCCCAACGGGCCGACGGAAGCCCCGCCGGCGCTGAAGCTGGCGCTCGAGTACATCGTGCCCTGCATGAACAAGCACGGCATCTGCGTGGTCGACGACTTCCTGGGCAAGGAGACCGGGCAGCAGATCGGCGACGAGGTGCGTGCCCTGCACGACACCGGCAAGTTCACGGACGGGCAGCTGGTCAGCCAGAAGAGCGACTCGTCCAAGGACATCCGAGGCGATAAGATCACCTGGATCGAGGGCAAGGAGCCCGGCTGCGAGACCATTGGGCTGCTCATGAGCAGCATGGACGACCTGATCCGCCACTGTAACGGGAAGCTGGGCAACTACAAAATCAATGGCCGGACGAAAGTAAGTGCGCTGGGGCCAGGCTCTCGGCCCTGCTGGGCGGGCCACTGCCGCTGTGTGCAGGGGACTCCCCGTGGCCCCCCGAGAGAGAGAGAGGACACGGGGTCTGGGTGGGGGCTGTCCGGCCTGCCGCGTTCTCGGTGTCCGCTGTTCTGCGCTCAGAGACCTAACGCACGGATCTCCGGGTGGGAGCGGGCATTGCACTCCCTCTTTAACGTTGCCAATTTCTCCTCTTCCACTGTTGGTCACCACTCAGACCTTGGCGTTCCAGCCCACAAGGGATGCATTAGCGGACCACCCAGGCCTAGGCTGGCCCTGCAGCTGCCTGGTTTGCGTGAGCTCCTGCGTGCCCTGTGGCCTTTAAGCCACGCACCACGTCCTGATTTAGAGGCAAACGCCATGGTTTAGTTAAGGCTCCCCAAGCCCATCCCAAGGAGGGAAATCTGAAATAAGCGTTCAGTTGAGACTCCCCACGTTCAGGAAGCTTGGCCGCTCCCCTCCCCCCTAGGCTCTTATCCCTCTCCCTGTTCCTACTGTTTGGAAACCCGCTACAAAACGGGGAAAGAGGTATTTCCGTTTTCAGAGCTCTCAGTGTAGGTAGGCTACATTTTTAGCATAGGTTTCCTTTCTTTGCTTTGTTCATATAACCCCTCTGTTGAGAGAGGACTGTTGTGTAGCTTCCTGGGAAAAAAAAAAAAAAACAACAAAACAGAATTGGATCAGAAGGGCTCATTTTAAGGTTTCTATCTCGTGAGCTTTTTGTTTTCTCCTTTCCATTGCAGTTTTCCCCTGCAGACCCTTCTGTTCCTGCCTAGGCTCTTTCACAGTCTAGAGGTACCATTAGGACACTTCTCAGAGCTTAACTCTTTTCTTTGTATCCAGCTCCTCCCAGCCACTCTGCTGCACCCTGTCTCCTGAATTGAATTCGGAGAGGGTGTCTGTTTGTACACACTGACTCTAACCGGTCTGGTCTGCGTGGGAGACACCACCTTTTCTGACCCTGCTCTGTGCGACTCTCCTGCTGCCAGGAAGGTGGTATCAGCGTGAAGGAGGTCTAAGCACGAAATGCATTTCTGTATTGCTGATCCAGGGCGGGGCGCCGGTACCTTAATATCACATATCAAAATAAATGAAGTCAACCTAAGCCTCGGCCTTGCACAAGATTTCTTCATATATATCTATAATACACATATACATTATGTATATATATGCATATTTAAAAGTATCATCATGGATCAGATTTAAACACACTCATGAACTTTATTGCAGGAAAGGAACTAGTTCCAGGTCAGAGGCCTGGAAGACTGATTCTATAGTCAGGAATAAGCTTAGATTGGAGTCGTGAAGAAGGCAATGCCCTAAATCTTCCTTAATCTGCTTTCTTGGTTAATTTAGCTTTCCACGTTAAGCTGAGACCTGTCCTCTACTGTCTCCCTGTTTTCACCTATCCGAGAGAGGGGACAGCAGACGTCTGGCGCTTGGACCAACTGCTGCTTCCGGGAGGTTCTTAGAAAACAGCCCCCTCTTTCCTCAGGAATGGCTAAAGGAATGGCACTTGAGATTTTAAGTCGTTTGACTGTACACATTATCAGGCAGGGAAGGAAGGACGCATTTTGAATCTAACAGACTTGATCTTATTCTACCTTGACTTTAGGGACACAATTTCAGGATTGATGGTGATTTTAGGGAATTCCTTTCATTGAACCTCTTGGCCAAAAGAGTTTTTGGTAATCTTGTTTGAACATGTCGTTTAAATATTCCTAAAACAAAACAAAACAAAAACGAGAGTGCTTGCTTGGAGGAATGAGAATGCAATTAAAATACCACCCACTGTATGTTGAGCAGTCACAGTGTGCGAGGCACCAGGTGAGACTCTGTCCAGACCCCGTCCCAAACAGTGCTGTCGTGTGAAGTGGGTAGCAGTATTCCTCGTTTACGTGTGAGGAAATTTCTGCTCCAGCTGGACCAAGGCCTGCCACTTACCACCTAGCTGGTATTCAGCTGAGGCTCTTCAGGTACCAAGCCCACGCTTTCTGTGCTGTACTAGCTACGGGCAGGACGGCTGGGAAGCTGTAGTTATTTAGCGCCCTACTGGAACTAGGACTTTTTTTTTTTTTTTTTTTTTTTTTGAAGGTTTTTGCTATTGGGCATGTGCGCTTAGCTACAGAGAGAGAGACAGTGAGGGGGAAAGTACGAAGTCACCTCCCAGGAAGGATGGCCTCGCCACCATCCCTTCTCTATTCTCCTGGGATTTTGGACATGCGCACAGATGCACGCACATGCTGTGAGTTTCGAGCCGTCCCAGACTGGAACCGCAGTCCACCAAGTGGGAGTCCAGCACCTTGACCACTATGCCACCTGCTGGCCCTGGAACGAGAATTTAATATTCCTATTGTGTTGATGGTGGCTCAAATGCATTAGTTTTGTATGTGAACAATCATATTCTAGTGCTGTGGTATATAAACCTTTTTATGAGTTGACTGCACAATGTTTATTTCAGATAATAGCTTAAAGACCACTTTATTCACCTGAATCATGCCCTTCTAAGTATAACTTGAGAGAGTCAGACTATGGTTATTATGTTTGATTGCAGAGGGAGTCTACAATTAAGGATTTTATTATCCTCCATAACAGTGATTTTAAAAGTGACTTGCCTCAAATGCGTAGTATTTTTCTCACTTTGACTTTCGCAGCAGTAGGTAGGTCTTTGGTATGTTATTCCTATTTGTAGATTCGAGAGATAGCACTCACTTGTGGAAGTCCTGCAGCATACGACCACTTAAATTCAAGTGATCTGCTGGCCTTTTTCATTTATGTTGACTGTGCTGCGTGCTCCTGTGTGTCAGGGCCTGGTAATCAGAGAGTGCATGATTGGCTGGGGCCCATTTGGTGGAGACTTTGGTTTTCCTGGAGTTTCCACTTCACATGCGCTTATCTGGCCACTGTTTGTCCAACCGCGTCGGAAGAGGAACCACAAGGGCGGGATGAAGTAATAGAGGAGAGAGACAGAAACCCGACTGTAGCTTCTGATGTAACCGAGCTCCAGTTTCCACTCTCACTGCTCTTTCTGGGGTTTTCCCGTTTTCGCTTTTAAACTGACCCTTGATCTGTTATTCTTCCTCACACCCTTTCTTCCGTTGGGCAGAGTCGTAGTGTCCAGTAGAAAGGAGCCGGCTCCGCCGTTCTGTAAGGGGCGGACGGGTAGGCCCTAAGGGAGAGAGGGCGGCATCTCCCTGGGGAGGTAGGCTTCTGCGCTGCTGTTCCATCTGGTTTGGATCCTGGTCCTGGTTCTGCTTTAGTGCTTTGGGGTGGGGCCATTTGCTTAACCATCTGAGCCTCAGTTCCTCTGCTGTAAGATCACGTTAAATGTCTGTCTTTTCTTCTTTCAGACTTGCTCTCTGAGTACCTTTTTTCTTTTGGAGACGTTTTTGCTATAGGGCACGTGTGCATGCCAGAAAGAAAGAGATTGATAGAAAGCAAGAAATCACCCCCCAGGGGGGATGGCCACGCCACAATCCCTTCTCCTCTATTCTCCTCTCGGGATCTTGGGTACGCAGGCACAGGATCCTGGAGTGAGTTTAAGCCACCAGGTAGGGGCCTTGAACCGTGGTCAATTGCATGGGAGTCCAGCGACATAGCTACTACACGATCTCCTGATCCCTCTGAGTACTTTCAAACCTGCATGAAAAGCACTTGGTGGACTATAGAGGACTCTGCTCAGTGTTAACTGCTGTCATTTTAAAACTTTCTGGTTTTCTAATGCTTTCTTTTAAGCATTCTGTACTTTCCTGTCTTTCCTTTCCTTAAAGGCTGGACAAAAAAAGGCTTGGCTGGATCACCTATTTTTGACGTAGCCACTTCCCTCTCTTACACACGCACACTTTTTTTTTTAAACAAAGGAAATAAGTCCCGGAGAGGTTAAGTGACTTGTTCAAAGTCATAGTGCTGATCGTGACATTTGATTGAATTCATTCTTCTCTGTGCAAGTTTATGCCACTTTCCATGAAAAAATTGCTTATCCCTAGTTAATTAATGCTGGTATATTTTATGCCCTTTCTGAGGCTATGCTTAAACGTTTGTGCCTGACTCTCCCTTCAGGCTCTTCTCCTGTCGTTCTGTACCGTGACTGAGCCTACGCTGCCGTCTCAGCTTTCCTCCTTGAGAAAATCCCTCCCTGATTTCCGCAGACATTCTTTGTCCACCGCTGCTGCTCCTCCACTGCGGTTGGAGCCTGTTCCCCACCGACCTGTCCTGGCCCCTCGGTAGGCACGCCCATCCCATCCGTGCTTTCGATTTACGTTTCATTCTGTTTTCCTTTCCCTTTTTTCCTCTATCAGGCCTGAAATTATTCCTCTCCGGTGTTTCCTGAAGCTTGTGCCGTTCTGCTATGCCCTTGGAGTGATGTTATCGGCCTGGTTGTTTTCATTTAACTTTGTGTTTGAGGCTGTTAAAGTTGTACCAACTGCCGCAGTCTCCCTTCCCTTCTAGTACATTCTTGGACAGTTTTCATGGATACGTTGTACTACTTTGCATGCATTCGACTTTCCCACCATGCCCTTGTCTGCGCACTTTGAATCTGGACGTGACTGCATGATAGGATTCAGATGATTTACTGAGCCACGACTTTGAGTATTATTTCAGCTGAAACTCATCTTTTTTTTTTTTTTTTTTTTTTTGGGGGGTTTTTGTTTTAGGGCCTTTG